AAATGTTCAATTACAAAACAAAAGTTCAATTAACTTTCAATTCCATATTTCCTTGAACCTTTTGTAGCCCTTTTATGTATGTATATGATGCACTTGAATTATGTTGTTGGTAAAGAAGATTGAAACTAGCATAGACAGTCAAAAGAACATACAACTCTATCCAGGCAGAAACATATGTAGAATGTTCCTTAGAAGCAAAAATGGTGAGACCATCTCTCATGCACTTTGGACATGTTATCAGGAGATATAAGTCGCTGGAATAAGATATAATTCTTGGTAAAGGAGAGGAGAAGCGAAAAAGAAGAAGATGCATAACAAGATGTATTGATACAGTGGCTCAACAATGGACTCAAGCATGATCATTTTAAGGGTGGTGCAGGACTGGACAGTGTTTCATTCTGTTTACATAGAGTGCCTATGAATCAGAACTGACTGGACAGCACCTAACAATGTACACACACATACTTGTGGATGCAGAAACACACACAGGGTCTTAAAAATTCATGGAAAATTTTATCATCCATTCTTACCATTTTTCTATGGAGAGAACACTAAAAAAAGAGAGATGGGAATGGCTAATAAAGAATATTCTTGGTTATGATCAGGAATAAGAAAAAAATGAACATTTACATTTTACATTGAACATGTCAATATGATTCATTTTATTTTTTTTTATTTTGGCTTTTAATTATTCATTTTAAATAGGCAGCTTTTCTTATCTTTTCAGATCAATACCATCTCTTTATTTAAAAGTAAAACAAACAGCTTCTTCAAGCATTTGAAATTACAATAGAATCACAAATATAATGACAGAGAAATTGCATTTGGCAATTGTTGAAAAGCTTGAAATACAAGATATACTGAAAATGGAAGTGAGAGAGCAATCAACTAAGCTTATTAAAATAAATGAGGCCTCAGGGTTTTCTCCACAAATAGATAATTCATCTGTATTATGGGAATTCAGTTTACTGTCATTGAATGCAATGTCATTTAAGGGTTTACCTGTGGGCTTTTTATTCCTTCTGGGTGTAAACACCTGGACTGTCATTCCAAGAGGACTCTGTTCCACTAAAAAGGGATCAGCGTGGAAGCCTGACATCAACTGTGTGTCTAACAGTGGGGATTTGGGCGTCTTCACCTGGCTCACTCCTTTTGAGTTTGAAGTGTAAATCCAGTCTTCCTCATCTCAGTAAGTACCTGAAGACCCTGATTAGTCAATTATGGATTCCATTAAACACGCACGTTAGATGAGTATCTCCGTCTCCCAAACCGTAATGGCCTGGTCTTTTCCGTCCACCATGTCCATGAGTAGGGGATGGAGCTACTGGAAACTATTCTTCTCATTATATTACTACGATCTTCTAAAGTCTGATTTCTTCTAAATTCTCTAAAGCAGTTACTTTTTAATGCAATATAAAACAGATGTCACCAAACATAAAGCATTTTTTAACAAAAAAGATGGCATATAGTCTGGTGTTTAGGAGAAGTAGAGTTTGATACTGATAAGTAGGTAATATGCCAGTTCAAAAAGTTCTCAATAACCCATTCTTTCAAATTTATCAGTAAACAACTAGATTTTTATTCTATTAAGGATCTTGGTATGAATTTCTTACTATTAGTCTTATTAATATTATGAATGTATTAACATCAGTTAAATAAGATGACCAAATAAACCTCATCTAACAACACCTAAATATGTAGAGATTTTGTCCTAGCTCTATCTTCTAAAAATCTATAAATTCTGTATCTGAACTTCAACTGGCATTTTAAAATTTTCTTCTTCTTCTTTCTTTTTTTTCCCATTTCTTTTAAATCTTTACATTTATGGTTTACATGAGTCTGATCCCAAAGCTGTTCTAAAACTTCAGATTTGAGATACATTATTAAATTCTTCATGACAAAGATTCCTGTTAATACCTGCCATTATCTCTAGTGTAAATTAGTAGATTCATTTTGTATATTAAAAAGAGAATATGATCAAATGATTCTCAACAAAAATGTTTTTCATGAACATGTTATAATTGGCTATAATTCTAAAATTATACCTCAGTTTTAATGGATAATTTATTTACTATGTTGTAGTGACCTAACTAAAATGTAAATCTCAATTCTAAACAGATATGTAGCAATAACAGATAAAACATAAAAAGCATAAAATACATTATTGTGCTATTTACGTAGATACATTAGTAGAAATAGAGATGATTCATATGATGAGATATAACACAAAAGCACATAAGCACATGCTCTGAGCCCAGAGACACTTTGGTAGTGCTCTGTGTTCGACGTGGGATCAGTCTAAGAAAATCTGTTAAAGACATGTAGACATTTTACTCCAATGGATGGTGGAAATCACTATTATCACAGTTGAAGTTTCCTCCTACTGGTTTAAAAATCAAGGAAATGGAGTAGCTGAATCAAAAGTATTATGCAACTGTACTCAGTTTCCTTTGAAAAGAAGATTCCTGCATTGTTATAAAAGACCTAATGCAAATGGAAAACATCAGGAAATGAGGACGAGCCAATCACCACATGTAATCATGAGGTCTGAACAAAACTATCAAATAAATAAGAAGTTGAGGTTAAAATAAAATTCAAAGAAAACAACAATACCAATAGAAAATAGTTACAATTTTAGAAATAAGAGTATTTTCCTGTAAGAAAAGGAGAAAAATAAACCGAGTTAAAATGTATTTTGAAATAACATGCTTAAGATCCTCAAAATATTAAAGGAAGCAAAACAACAATAAAAGAAATGAAAAGATATGGTAGAATTGATAGGTAAAATAAAGATAGTTATTTTAAATATTCATTATTACCAAAGAAAATTACAATTGAAATTAAACTAGTCACAATAAAATTGAGATCAGTGACAAATGCATATGTAATTAGCAAACTACAAGATGTACCAAAATTCATGCAAAGAAATGAAATTGAAAATCATCAAGCAATCTAGCTAGAAAGGAAAGTTGAGAAGCTTCAACATTTTCTCAGATAGATAGATAGTCAATATTGAACAGGATGATCATTGATAATACCCAAAATTTAAGAAATAATTTTTCAGTTTACAAATGCCCACACATTGCCAAACAAAATAAATGAACACTAATTCCCCTACGTGTACTATGCTAACAGTAAAGAGAACATTTAAAGACTAGCAGAGCATTAG